TTCGGATAGAAGCAGTTAGGGTTTATATAGTTTATTATTATTATCATTTACTAGAGACCTACAAAGGCTTTATAGACTCGATTCTTTCTTCTTTCTTTCTTTCTTTCTTTCCTTCCTTCTTTATACTTAGTATTTTCGTTTAAATATACTCTTGCTTTAAAGAACCGGCTAGTAACATAAGCTTTGTACTATAGAGACCAGAGTAGACACTTAGTCATAGTTAAACTGCGACATCGCCTATAGACAGGCGGGTGGGTATAGCCTATAAGCCTTATATAAGTGGGAAATTGGCCCTATAGAGAGGCCTATAGACAGGCCCTACCCTTAGGCCTACGGGCTATGGGCGTTATAGGCGCCTGTGGGCCTTTTTAGTAAGTAAATTTTCTTAACCTTATAACTTATATTATTTATACATTTTTTCTCTATATTTTTAAGTAATTTAATTATATACCTTAATATGATAATTTAGTACTACTATTAATTTTCTAACCTTAAAGAAAAATAAGCTTTTAAAGCCTTTATATAATTATTTAATATAACTATTAGTTTTTAATAAGGGTTAAAAAATTAAGCTTTAGTACCTTTTATAAAATAACCTTAGTACTTATATTTATTATAGTTATATATTTATACTAATATAATATAAATTAATTATTACTAAGCTTACTATACTTCTTTACTTCTCTTAACTAGGATACCTTTAAGTACTAATGTTATTTCTATAAAAAGAGAGATTAGGACTACTCTTATCTTTATTATTAATAAACTTACTTCTCTATCGCTTTTATATACTTAGTACTATAGAAGGATAAAGTAGCTAACTCTTTATTATAAATTTATACTTAATTAGTTTAATAAGATTATTATCCTTAGAATCCTTACTATTATTAATTAATTTAAGTATATTAGTAGCCTCATTTTACTTATTTACTTCTTATATAGAATTTAAAAATATAGATTTATTAAGTATTTCTTTTATTTTAATATTAAACTAGGTTTTATACTAGAATATCATAATATTTTAGATTATCTTTATATTTAACTACTTATATTAGTAGTAGTAGTAGATATTTTATACTACGTTAAATAGATATTTAACTCTAGTACCTATTATAAGAATTAAAAGAATATTATAAGTAATAGTTAAAAGAATTAGGAATTTATTCTTATATTCCTTCTAAACTTTTAAAAGATTAACCTTTCTTCTTACTATAATAGGTATAAGTATTCTTATTTATAATAATAATAAATATAATATATATTATTTAAAGTATTTAATAAGTTTATACTTTAATATTAATAAATTAAAATAATTATAAGACTAAATATTAAAATGAGTATCTAGGTTACTTATATTAGCTAAGTAATCCTTAAGTACTTATTCTCTAATATACCCTATACTATATTTAAGAAGTAAAACTTATACTAGGGTATAAGAATTATTCTAATTATATAAAGATTACTATAGATCTCTTTTATCTTTATATAGTAAGATATAAGCTTTACTATCCTAGTATTAAAGACTTATAGTATCGCTTTCTTCTAAAGTATTATTTTTAAAGTAAGTTATATAATAAAATCTTTAAAGTAATTAAAGAGAGTATTACAAATACTAAAAATATAATATACTATTATCTCTTTAGTCTTTAAAAGTACTATAATAAAGTAGTAGAATAGCTTTATAATATATAGAAAGTAGTTAATCTACTACTATTCTACCTTACTAAGTTTATATTTCTATATCCTAATTTTATTATAGTATTTATTATATAGCTTACTATATTATTAAAACCCTTAAATTCTAATATATATAGATATCTTAGATAGGTATAAGTTTTACTTTATTAAACTAGAGATAAACGAAATTATTATAATATTAAGGGCTTATATTAATAAATATAGTAAATCTATAAATCTATATAATTATTAAGTATATTAAAATAATAAACAAAGTAATATACTTACTTTAATAAAGGTTTATATAATAACTTACTTACGTTAGAATATATAGAGTAATTAAGCTTAGATTTAGACTTAGATATTAGAAATATTCTAATCTATAATATTATTCTAAGGGTTAACCTTTACTACTCTAGGTAGTTTATAAAGGCTTAGTTAGATAATATATATAAGATAAGGGATTTAAATAACTATTAAGCTATTTAATAGTTTAAAGGAGTTAATAAAGTCTTAAACTACCTATATTAGAGTTATATTATTAAGTATATTATTTAATATAATTACTAATATATAATTAGTAATATTAAGCTTTTTAAAGATATCTATAAGTACTTTACTTAGATTTATATTAGAATATACTCTATTAAATAACTTGAATCTAAGTAAGATCTTATAGTAATTCTAGTCTTAATTAATAAAGTACCTTATAATTACTATAAATATTTACTAGAAAAGTAATATCTAGTAGTTAAGAGTAATTAAGAGCTTTATATCTTATAGTAAGGTAGTAAAGATTATATATTACTTATTATTAACTAATTTCTTTAGTTAGTATTAAGTAGTATAAAGATAGAGTAGGTTTAACTAGAGTCCTTTAAGTTATTTAAATTAAGAAATAAACTACTTCCTTTTAAATACTTAAAAAGGTAGGTTTAACTAGTAAGATATTTAATCTACTCTCTTTTTTATTTATTACTTAAGAATCTTAAGATATAAGATAATACTAATATTCAATATATAACTTATTAGTTATTTTAGAGGGTATAATTATATAAGACTTACTGATATATATTATATAGTCTCTTTAATTAACTATTATATATACTTACTTTTACTACCCTTTTGGTATTTATCTAAGGCTTAGTATAATATATTACTTAGTTAAAGTTCCTTTAGATATTTAATATATATTTTATATCCTATTATAGCTATTATAAAATAGCTTTAATAGTTATATATATATATATTAACTATTATACTATATTCCGTAATATTCTTAGTTCTATTATAACTTCTTTATCTACTCTAGTAACTAAGGTTTAATACTAAGATCTAGCTTACTAGACTTATAAATAGTATATAATACTAGCTATTCTACTATATCTTAGATATTATATATATCCATTATATATATAAGTAGAATCTTTATAAGGATATTTTACTAAGTTATTACCTTCTTTTATTATATCAATAAAGTACTCGTTTAGTTTACTAAACTATATCTTTCCTTTAAAATATCCTATAAGCTTATTAGTAGCCTCTTTATTACTTAGATAGTTTCTAGGATTATTTAATAGTATTTCTAAGATTATTCACTTATTATTTAAAAATATATTTATTATTTTTAGATTATTAGTAGTTCTAAGGAATATAACTAATATTCTTAAAAGCCTTACTTTTTATTTCTAGAGGTTACTAAACTATTTTAAAGAGTTATTTAATTCTTAAGGAATATATTAGGTCTATCTTTAGCTTCCTATAGTATCTTAGTTAATTTCTAGATAATTAATATATAGCTTATTAACTAACCCTTTAGTATATAAGTTACTTACTAATATCTTTTCTAGGTTTAGGTTACTTTATCTTATTAAAAGATCTTTTAAAGAGTCTATCTTTAGGTAGTCTTATTTAATTTCTTAAGTTATATATAGTTCCTTATATATTACTTATATATATTACTATTTTTTATATAGTTTCTTCTACTTATATTCTTTTATATAATATCCTAGTTTCCTATATATAAAGTAAAGATTCTTTTATTAATACTTATTTTACTTATCTTAAGTAGTATTTAATTCTATTAGCTTTAAGCTATATAAATTAAGGTCTTAAGGTACTTTATTATAGTACCTATTACTAAAATAGTTAAATCTATAACTCTTACCCTTTTTCTATTAGTCTATTTCTTAGTAACGTATTCGGTAAGCGAGTCGGCCATGTAAGCCAGTCAGCCACCCCACCCAGCCTACTAAATTCAATTCTATTTATCTTAACCAAAACGCTATTAAATTAAATATAGTAAAATTATCTATCTACAGGGGTACCTATTGATTTTATGGCCTAATTTTCCGTACCTACTATACCTTAGTAGGGCCCGTATACGTAGGTGTAAACCCGGCGAGTCGCTTATTTACAGTAGGGGTATAGGTACTTCCACTACTTCTACCCCCCTAGTAATTAATTAAGAAGCTTCTTAAACTAAGAGACCTTCTTCAGCGGGTATCTACCTTTAGGATCGAGTACGCTTTTACTTCTACTTCTCGTTTTCGGCGCGTAATTCCTTATTTTCTTTAGTGAGTAAAATAGTACCTTATATTATAAGGCGGAAGCCTTTTATAAGTTAATTTAATATACGGTCGGAAGGACTTAGTAGGCTATAAGACCTTATATAAAGTAGAGCTTTAATTAATAAAGCTTACCGATGTAGATCTTTCTTAGTAGCTAGTATTTTTAGTATAAAATTCCGGCTTAAATTACTACCCTAACTTAGGGGGGGTATTAGGGTTCGAAGCTAAATATTAAGCTTTAAGATTACTCGGTCGGGTATAAATAGTACTAAACTAGCTACTTCGAAGCTATTTTTAATAGTCTCTGATTTAAAAGCTTTAATTATATAAGGGGGTATGCTTTAAGGAAGTTAAGTTTATCGATATAATTTATCCTAGCCTATAAATCTCATATTTCATTTCAACTAATTATAAATTTTATATAGATTCTTGTATCAGGTTCATTTCACCTTACAGGGGAGTTATAAATTTTAAACCCGATGTAACATCCCTAAGAACCTTGGCAATGAAAATATATTTTATGCCCTTTATCCTAGAGGCTGAAGATAAATTGAGATTCCCCATATGGACCATAATACAAACCCAAACCCCAAAACTCCTTACGGGAGAATACCCGAAATAATGGAATAATAGAACTAGTTCTGTACACAATAGGAAGGCACCTCGTCCCCCATTCCCCACTTTGAATGGTTTTCTAACTCCTCCAAATGTGCATACGAACACAGTATAAGATGGTTGTGATAGACCTAGATGCTATGTCTGGATAATCACACCTTTGCGGCCCATTGCTTCTTCAATATGGAACCCAAAGACGAGCCGATAGAGGTCACGAAGCCAGGAGTACTGGCCGCTTTGTAGCATTGCCTGGCATGCATGTGCGACATCAATGGCACCCACCCGGGCTTGCAGACCAACACTTCTGAATGTCGGGTCAAACGCCACTACCTTTCTATAATTCTTCAATAACGAGGTCTGCCACGCTGCGGAGCCAAATGCATCCGAGGGGAGTGATTTCACAAATGATGAGAGATTCTGGCTCCCACCCCGTTGATACCCACTAATGATGGCAGCCTTGGTTATCAAGATCTTTAATCGAGTGAGGTTTGGGTCCTCCGAGATAGTTGTCACGGTATTGGCCGAGGACGCCGTGTGGCTAGACGACCGGGATTGCTCGGAAATACTGGATGCATTGGATGACCACTTCGTATGAGGGTTATTATGCCCGTTCCCATAACCTAGTACGAGTATGTTGGGAATCGGAGCCTCGTCCGGCGAGGTCGTTGCAATATCTTCGAATATGGTGGTTGGGGTTTCGGGGTTGCCGAGTTGGCTCATTGGGTCATCGCCGAAATCCAGCTCCGACTGCTGCGAGGTTTGATGAAATGCCTGCGAGAACGTAGTTTGGCTCGGTCGTGGTGTTCCCCTATCCGAGTTGCGCAAATTATGGAGGGTCCAGCCCTCGCGGAAGAGATCGCAAAGCTCCCAGCAGGCTTGAACCGCAGACCCTAACAACTCCTCATCCAGTGGCTTCTCTTCTCTCTTGCTCTGGCGAATACTGAACAGCATCTCGGCTAATGTCCAACATGCACTCAGTAGAGAGTCTGTCTCTGTGATGCGAGTGCGCTGTTTCATGAGACGGTGGCACAAGGTAATATAGAAATCCAAGGTTCTTTCACGGAAGGCATCGGGAAGATTTCGATCGTGAGTGTTGTAAAGGTGATTATTCAACTCAAAACTCACTCGTAGGACCGAGTCAGATAGGTCAGTGTCGCGAATACGGGCTTCAAATAGCGCCTGGCAGAAATCTCGACAGAGATCAAGAGTCGGATGGATTTGCGATGCATAGTCGTCATCGCGCGTGTCATAAAGCTTCTGACAAAGTCTCCAACACGAACGCCATGCATCCTCCTGCATATCATCATTATGAGATTTGAGGAGACGTTCTCGATGGATATAACTAAGATTGGCCAGCGTATTACATAGTGTCCAGCATTCATCAAGAGCAGCTCTTAGGGCATTGATTTCGGCCTCTTTGCTTGTTAGCCCTGGTTTAAGATTAGTATCATTTGCTCGGATTCAAAATGCATCTGCGTTCATGGTTATACCTTCAGGGATGTCTAAAGACAGGGTCAGCAAGGGTTATCACGAATAAAAGGACTTGGAAAAGGAATCGGCTATTGTACCTTGCAAGCTACTCGAACGGGTCCGTCTCTCAAATTCCTCGAACTCATGCCTTGTTTGTGCACGTGGTGTCGCTCGTTCGGTACAATCATTGGTAAGACTGATGGATGTTGTCAAAGGGGGTGGCGATATTGGACTATTTCCAAACTGAACGGGATCAAATTCATTAGCACCATGTATAAATGGGAGAGGACTGTCTTGAAAAATACCTTTCTCGTCCTTGGGGGTACGTTTATTATATCAGTTTGCTCATCTGAACTGACTGATGGCGACTGTGACTTTTCCGTGCCCTCGAAAGTGGGCTGTGTTGGCATCTACATAGATACACCATTAGTCGACGCAGCGACAGCCCCTGATAGGATTCGTACGAAATCACCAAATCCTGGCGGAGCATGTATCACCGACTGCGGAGGTTCATCGTCATCCGATCTTGGGCTGTTCCCCAAATGATTCGGATATTCGGTTTGAATCTATATAGTGTGAGCTCAACGGCAATATATAGCTCCGCGCACATTGTACATACTGTAAGCTCTGGTTGAGAAGGAACCGCAGATCCACGTATAGGTCTAGGAGCGCTATCATCGTTTGAATTGGAATCATCACAATCATCGCAATCCTCTTCATTGGCAGTCCCTGATGAGTTCTTCATCGGCTCGGAAGCGGAAAGGTGGGAACTCTCATTCCCATCGAAGACCCCATCAAGAGACCTATTTACGCATTAGCCAGGCTTGTAGAAAACAGTAAGTGTCTTACATTGAAACTGAGCGTGGAAAATAGTAAGCCGGACTTGTGGAGTTGACGTGGGGTAGAACAGACAGTGGCGACCTGACGGCCATAACCGAATGTATATGGGAATATAAGAAAACAAAGCTCAAGTGAAAAGAAAAAAAAAAGGATGGGGGAAGCAACACTTGAGGGAGCTGAGCCCGGTCCCTTATCGCTTACCTAGCGTATACTACACGTGATATCTGTTTCTTCAATACTTCATACTTTTGGATGGTTAGGATGGGAGGATGGTATATCGAATACAGCGCTGAATGTGGAGTCCCGATTTGACATTGACAATGTCCTAATATGTAAATTGAAGGTCAATTGCAGAAAGAAAGACCATGAGAAAAGTGTAGTATGAAGCAATTGTATAGCTATTATTGTAATACATCTTCGGTCTCTAATTGGCTGAAGTTGATGGAAGCGCTTTCGTCCTAAATGTGGTATAGTCCAATGCAGCTCCCCTCTATATGAGTGGATAATGAAAGTTGAGATGCATGTTCATCACGGCGCCTATTTAACCCCTCGAATAGGAATTAAAACCAATTTAGGAATTTGAGAATCTTCGGTTTTTTTTTTTTCTCTTTCTTTTAGATTGCATCGATGCCCTTTGGTTTGCGAATCCCAGAAAAGAAGAAAAAAAAGAAAAAAGGGAAAAAAAAATAGTAGAAACCAACAGCACCTAGATGCCAAATCGGGGCAGATAGATATATCCGTATTGGGTATACTACAGACCTAGAATGGGTCTCGAGCTCTTGAGATCGTCGGAGGCGTTCAAGCGGGGAATTTGCTCGTTTATCTCGGGCTAGACTGGGAACTCATCTATTGTATACTTATTATTTACATATGTATATACCTTTGTTTCCTAAGGGTAAAACCTGGTTGCTAGGAACTTGGAAATGCCTCTAAGGTCAGACCATCAATTCAATCTGCAAATCTGACTATACTTCTAGCCGAGAGTCAAGATGTAGGGAAATCGAGAACAGCGCAAGGTTCCTCGGGGGACAAAGAAGTAGTGGCGTTTGCGTAAAAACACAGCGTTGGGCTACAAATGGTGCTTGCCCAATATTGATGGGTCAGACTGCAAACCGCTGTGTAAAATTTATTGAAGATAATAATAACCAAAACGCAAATACCTCCCTTGACGCCATATGTGTAGAGTATAACGCCCTAAATGCAGATACCGGAAACATTTGTGAGGAACTTACCCCATCTCCGGTGGAGTCTGGGTCACCCATCACGTCTCAAACCACTTCACTGCCCCCCCCAAGAGAAACCAGAAATCCAAGACTGGTATTTGAATGTGAAGGCCAAAACCAATGATCATGCCTATACGCTTAGGAGGTCGATGTTTCTTCTGTTGCAATCTTCAATATGCCCCCCAATGTCTCCTGGTCAACAGAACGTAAAAGGCCGATGATCGGCCTAGAATGACCGGGCAGTAGAGGAGAGTGGGGTATTTGTGTGATCTTTTGACAGGAAGGCCTCGGCTTGAAGTCGATGGCGGGTTGACTCGCGTGAGAATATGACTTATACTTGAGCCTTGGAGCGATCTTTCTCGGCGGAATTGTAACTGTGAAGAATGAGCAACAATTCATAGAACAAAATGATCAGAGACGTACCGAAGAAGTTTCTCGATCAAATCAACGTGGGTCATGATCATTCGCCGGCAGCAGTACCGTCTGCAGCCAAGCTGGTCCATAGCGTCGCTGTAAAAAGAGGTTATTAGCCAGAAAAAAAAAATAATGCGACAGATTTGAGGTTATCATACCCATCTGGAACACCGTCGTCCAAAAGCTGCAGGTAGCGCTCCCAAAGGTCACCGACAACCTACAATTGGGAATTTAGTAAAAAGATCATACATCACTCAAAAACACCTGCTTACCTTGCCGCAGGAGAAGCAACGGACGGGGATAATCATCTTGGCGATTAACTTAGGAGATAATTTGGAGAATGAGAAATGAAGGTCGATTGGAGGTGAATGATGTCGCTTTCCAGACTTTTTTTCCCGCGAAGATCGAGAGGTTGATCTAACCCAATCAGGAGAAATGCGATTTTCTGCCATTAATCCCCGCCTTATTTTTCCCTTGGAAAAAAATGTAGACGGATCTGCCATGAAGATCCCCAGACTCAAGTCTTTACAATTGTGTCCCAATTTGTAAGAGCTATGATTGTCTGAGTCGCACAACTTACTTTTGAACGTTTTCATTATTCTTTTTCTCGGTCCTGCTTTACATGCAAAAAAAAAATGGCGGCCAATCAGTCAGCACGACAGCAAAAACGATCCCGGCTTAGCGATGCGGCCTCCGAGAAGCCTGCCCGGTCAAATGAAGAGCGATCCAAAAGGCGCAGAGTCTCCGGAGCCAATGAAAGCCAAAGCCAGCAGACAGTCGAACCAACCGACAGTGTAAAGGCTGTTTCCAATGACCATGTCCAAACACAAGATGTTGAGACTAAACAAAAAGGCCCCGCGCCGTGGTCTTTCTCACGCCCTGTTGGTGGTCGTTACAACAATTTAGATCCAATTCTGACCGACGATGAAGCGTGAGGGCTTTTTATATCCGACATATGGCGAGACGCATTCTGACCTTTTTCTATTACAGATATCTCCTTGTCGGACTCGACACGGCCGTTCAAGTATTCGCAACCTCAACCTCCCGCCTATCACGTACATTGCAAATGGAGGCTGGCCAGCAGATAATTGGGTTCAGCGTCTGCCCTGAGGACCAGGAAAACCTCTATATCTTCACGTCTTCCGGCTCTATCGGCAAATGGAACTGGAGTTCCGGAAAGCGCATCGCTCGCTGGGAGACCACCTGCACAACCGTTTCAATGAGCCTCGCTTCAGTGGGTAAAGAAGGAAACACAGCTGCTATTTCCTTCTCTATCATCGTGCAAAAGGATGGGAAAAGACAGATTTTGATCAACGCACTGGGAGACAAGAAGATCCAAGGCACTACCGCCCTCGAGACTAGTCAGAAGATCAATAGCATCAAGGTCACCCACGATGGCCGAGTGATCATCGCCAGTGATGGTAAGCATCTATTTATGGGTACTACAACCAGCGCAGATCTCGAGCACCTGGAGACTGTCCAGTACGCCTGGCGCGAAGCGACCCTTCCAGTCAATGCAACTTGCTTTGATATCCAGGTCCAAGGCTCGGAAACCATCGATCTAGCAGTAGGAGAGAGCGGCGGCTCTATTCTGATCTACCAGAATGTCTTGAATACCCTCTTTGGTAAGGACATCAGTGATAAGAGGTCTTCGCCCAGGAAGTTGCATTGGCACCGAGGCTCTGTGAACACCGTGCGTTGGTCTAAAGACGGTATGTTCACTCGTATACATGTTTTAGAAAGAGATTGCTCACTGTCATTAGGCAACTACATCATCTCGGGTGGCCAGGAGTCGGTCATGGTTCTCTGGCAATTGGACACTGGCCGGAAGCAATTCCTTCCCCATCTTTCCTCCCCTATCTGCAACATCGTCGTCTCCGCAAGTGGCAGCTCCTATGTGGTTAAATTGGCCGACAACTCTGTCATGATCTTGTCTACGAGAGAATTGCAACCTCTCACTACCATAACAGGATTGCAGTTGTGCCCAGATATGTCAGGCTCTGTCGAGTCCTCAAAAGGATCTGTTGTGGCGAAATTGCACCCACAGCAACCAGAAAGATTGATTGTGGCGGTCCCAGCTTCCCACCAGCTTACTCAGAACCAGCATGGCTCTCAGCCTGCAAATGCGGCCGTGCTTCAGACATATGATATCCGTGCCAACTCCAATATATCCCGCCAAGCCCTAGCGCGAACCAACGCGACCACTTTGAGCGTCAGCCCTGAGGGGTCTCAAATCGTTGCCCCCGATGTCAAGCACTTGGATATTGTGCATGATGCGAAGTGGTTGGCGACGGTCGATACCTGGGCCCCCCACCCCCAGGACGTGGAAGCCCTGGATCGCTCTTCTAATGCCAAATCGACTGCCACCCTCCGTCCGGAGGTCTTTTTGAAGTTCTGGAAGTGGGACGCTTCCTCTGACACATGGGAACTGGTCACACGTGTTGACGGTCCTCATTTCTCTAAGAATCACCACTCAGCCGTGCTTGGTCTGGTGGCTCGCCCTGGTGCCCACGAGTTTGCGACTCTAGGTTCCGACGCTGTTCTCCGCTTTTGGTGCCCAACTGCGAAATACCGAAGCGGTCTGAAAGCCAAAGATCAACCAGAACAGCCCCTGAACACGTGGAAGTGCCGTGGCACTGTTGACTTGGAGGGATGTCTCAATTCCATCGAAGATTCTCCTCTGGATGTGGCTTGTATGAGTTTCTCCGAGGATGGCTCAGTATTGGCCGTCTGTCTGCCGTCAACATCGACTGCAAATGATGGTCTTGTTCTCCTGATCGATGCACGAAACTGCTCTATGCACTACCGACGCACCGGTGTTTTCCTTGGAAACCCCTGCTCAACAAGTTTCCTGGGAAGCCATTTGATCGTTGCTTCCACTCGCTCGGTGGCTGTCTGGGACACAGTCGATGATGTCGTTAAGACTATCCAATCATCAGACTCTGTGGAGTCTCCTACCGGGACCTCACAGCTCATTGCCGTGAATGCTAGAACGAAGTCATTGGCAATTGTTACGAGTTCGTCACACAAGAAACGCCGCAAGGTGCGATTCCAAATCAAGATCTACGATGTTCCATCCTTTGAGGTGGTCTTCCAGGAAACCCTGCAAACCTCTCCGGTTGCATTGTTGTCAGATTCTTATTCCGGTGATTACATCGTTGTTGACTCCGCAGCAACTGTGCAGCGGCTCGGCTGTTTGGACAAGGCTTCTCAGAAGAGCCAGAACAACCAGTCTCGTGATGTGACCGGCCAAATCGACAATGGATTG